GATACATATATATATATATATATATATATATATATATTAGTGCTGTCAATTGATTAAACAAACTTTACTAATTAATCGCACATTTTTTCTGAAATTAATCACGATTAATCCCACCTACTATTAAAGTTTTTAAATATACTTTTATATTGCAATAAGGAATATATAGGAAATAGTCCTCCCCCCCAATATTTAACCATTGACTAGCCTTTGACTATAGCCATTCAACGTTACAGTAGCTATAACTGAGAGCTATCAATTTTAACATTTATTAGACTTTAAAAAATAACAACTTCTAGTGAGCTTAAAACAATCTTCATATAAACCCATTATAATAAAAGTCATATTTAGCTACATGTGCCCTTCAGTAAGTAGGAAATATACAGAAATTGAATAAAGTTATCAAACACTAAATTCTAAATTAAATATAGATGAATACTTAAAGCTATTTTTTCTTTTGTTCTTTGATTAACAGACATCACAGCAGCTGGTTATCAGGTTATTTTAGCTGCCGCTGCTGAACATGACGCGGATCTGATACGCATCGTAGTTTCTCATAACTCTTTACCTTTTCTGACCCTCTTCAGCTCTTAAAGTCTCTATAATGAGCTGACGAGTTGAATCGGGTGTGTTAGATGAGGGAGACAGTGCTGCTGCTTCAGGACAGTTTGGAAAACCACTGCATTTCAGAGACATGTTCTTAAATCTGACTCAATATAACACATACTTACATGCATGCACAGTTTTAAGGCAGCTTTAATTGCCTTTTTGGTAACTTCATGACTTAAGTGACGACATACTTATGACGGATGCTCGTCGTTTCTTTTGCGCTTTAATATAATACAGCGTGCGTTGCCATATTTGTGCGTTCAACTGAAGAGCGCATGCTACGAGCACAGTATACCGGCTGACAGGACAGGAAAATTGGTTTTTACTGACATATGGCCTGACAGCATCTCATCTGAGCACAGTTCACTGTTGTTCTACTGAAGCTCCTCGTCACCTGTATGTTTTCCGCGCTCGTTTGACTCGCGCCTGACACTGAGGTAAAGTTGGAGTGCGCATCTGAAAACTCTCCCTTTTGATGTGATCATAAAGAAGTTCTGTGTCTAAATAAACGAACTTCTTGTCAAGAAAAAGAGACAGCAGCAATCCTAGCTCCGCCCCTGCGTTAAATATTTTTAACGCCGTTAAACTGAAAAAATTCATCACATGTGTTAATGCGCTAATTTTGACAGCACTAATATATATATATATATATATAAAGTAATAAAATTGACAAAAACAAACAACAAATTTACTCAAATTTACATTGAAATCTAAAAATAAAAACTATGCAAAATGCAGTTTCATGGTCAGTAAAAATCATTTATGGCCAGAAAACGTTGTCAAAACAAACAACAAAATTACTCAAATTAAAATAGAAAATAAAAAAATAAAAACTAATTAAAAACATTAATAAATAAAAACAATGTAAAGTGCAGTTTCATGGTCAGAAAAAATCATTTATGGCCAGAAATGTTGTCGATTGTTTGGCAGAAGTGGCAGGAAGTTCATTTTGGACCCTGAGCCTTTGTGTGTCCTGTCTGAGACACTCAGAAACACGTAACGGAGTGACAGATCATTTCTGAACAGACGACAGATTCGATCGGTTTGACAGGAACTAGCAGTGTGTCTCGCCACACAGAAGCAGACGGGATTCACAGCATGCTGCAGAATCGTTCATGCCAACAGTGGAAAACACCAGAGAGGAACAGAAGAACAGCTGAAACATCCACAGAGCTACAGGAACACAGTCCAGAGGATGAGAAACGAGTCGCCGTCAGCCTTCTTACCCAGCTCAGTTATCATTGGGATGTTGTTCCCGCTGCTCTTGTCCTGGCTCAGAGAAACCAGGGGCAGCAACTTGTCTGTTTTAGCTAGCAGTATAAAACAACCAGTTACCATAGCAACTAGTTACCAAAACCACCAGTCACCGCTGCAAATGATTAGTTGTTTTGCACTTTGCAACTAAATCCAGAAACTAGCTTCAAAATGATTTTCAGCTACTGTTACTAAAACAACTCTCAAATGTTTTGAGGTCAGTAGGATCTTTTACAATAAGGTTCCACTTGTTAACATTAGTTAACTGCATTAGTTAAACGAACAATAAAAATATTGTAAAGCATTTATCTTCGTTAATTTCAACATTTATTAATAATAAATATTAAAATCAAAAGTATTTGTTAATATTATTTAACTTGCCTGAGCTAACATGAACTATTAACAATGAACAGCTGTATTTTTATTAACTAATGTCAGTTATTATAATTAACTAAAACCATAACATTTTATTTCAAGTAATAAAAGATTTAACTTGAAATCAAATGAAACAAAGTTTACGAACAAACTTATTTTCATATAATTAACGAACAAACTTATTTTCTTCTAGTTGCCAAGGCAACATTTCTTATTATTTATATTTAAATATATTATATTTATATTTAATATTCAAATTAAGTTAAATAAAATATGAAAGTTTAATAAAAAATAATAAAAACTATACAGACATATTAAAAAACGAACAAAAATATCAAAAACAAAAAATTACAAAAACTTTACAATTAAAATGAAAATATAAAAATAAAACTAATTCAAAATATTGATTAAAAACTATAATAGTAGCTCAATGATACGAAAATAACACTAACATTAATACTGTAAAAAATATTGAATTAACTAACGTTAAAGCTGCAGTCCGTAAGTTTTGCCTCTTTGTCGCCATCTCTGTTTGAAAACCTGGAATTGCAGCTGTGTGTGGAATTATCTAGCTTGCGTGGGTTGTGAGTCGGCACAGCTCCAGCGTGGATGAATCTAATGTTCTGAAGAGTATGTGTGGCAGTCAGTCACCGCACC